CATCCTCATTCCCTTCTTATTCTCTTGGTGAGATGTAATTTCCACTTGAGCAGCTTCTTTCCATGAACTGCTGCTTGGTGGAACTGACTCCTAAGAGGATGCTTCCCAATCTTAACCTGTTCAAGTTTAGAATTAGCCGTTATCTTCCCCATATATCTCCATAAATAGTACCTCTTAGTCTGTTACCCTGTAACAGCCTTGTACAGGGTGAACATCATTGTAAAAAAAAAACCTTTCAGGCGGATATTTCTTTGAGATAATTGCGAGTCTGCATGTCTTGTGGAGATTAAGTTTAGAGATGATAGCAGAAACCATGGACAGAGTTATATGCATATTATACAATAGAAATTTGGTTCTTGGTGGAAAATCAGGCAAAAATACTCCTAAATGAATCAAGAGTAGAACTGGAAGAGAATTTACAAGCAAAGCATTCTGTTTTATCAGCAGCTGAGAATCACACTTCAAATTGATTGAAAATATAAGGAATTGAGGACCTACTCTTATTTAACACAATCTTAGTGAGAAATCTGCTGCATTGTTTATCAGATACTATAGTTATAGAAGCACTGATCCTAGACTCCAAACAGATTTCAAAATTTGAAATTTGTTCTATGTTAAAGTTTGTTTTTAAAGAGTAATTAAAATTTGCTGTCTCTGTTAAAAATTGAAATACAAATAATATAATCAATAAAGAAAAAAAAATGATAATCCGTAAAATATATACAACACACTGGAGCTATTAATAATAAAAATCAATAATGACTATCAAAATATGGAAAACGATTAGAATTTAATGTATTTCAAGGTGAGCTGAATTTTTGTCAAGAAAGCACTCAATAGTGAATGAAAGCAGTAATAGTCAATAAATCAATGAACAGTGTGGCTGCAAAGGTTTGAAGTCGGTCAAAATATAAGTCATTTGAACCTTTATTAATTTACTAGTGTACCCATAACATCAGAAATTACAGTAAGTTTTAGAACATTTTAATAGTGAGACACAATGAAACAAAAGTCTTGAAACAATGTACTGAGATTCAATAAAGCGGCGATAAAGAATTCACAACTAAAATATGAGGTCTGAAAAGTAATGGGACTGGTGTCACAAATAATTTATTTAAATTCCAAACAACAAACTACATGATTTCCCCTTCAAAATAATCCCCATCGAGTCTAATGCACTTTTCTATCCTGCTCTGCCACGTTTCTATGAACTGCTGGAAGGATTCTTCTTGGATACCCCTCAGCTTCAGCCTTCTTGATGGCCTCCACAACGGGTCCCCTTGATGATCCCTTTGAACTTGGGGAAAAGGAGAAAATCACATGGAGCAAGAGCAGGTGAATAGGGTGGTTGTTCCAGTATGGCAATATTCTTCTCAACCAGGAATTGCCGGATGGTCAGGGCGTTATGAGCAGTTGCATTGTCATGGTGAAGCAGCCATGATGTTTCCTGCCACAACTCTCATCTCTTCTCATGCACTGAGTGAAGCAAATGCTACAGGATCTTTTTGTAGACTTGTGGCAAGAACTCATTGTAGACGGTGCCTCTCACATTGAAGAACCGATAAGTCCGGTTACTATTCAGACAGATCTCGTAGAAGTCATTGATCTGTTTAATTAATCCATTTCCTTTATACTTTTTAGATGCCAAAAATTCTGATGAAGACAAGAAAAAATATGTAAAATAATAAGTGTAACTTTACCTCATCTCAAAAATTTGGATAGAAAAGAACACCTAAGAGTAGAAATCCCAAAAGACTGTATTAAAGATAACACGGAAATACTTTTAGATGCCTAATACAAGGTGAGGGTCTTAATAATGGGGGCGAAAAATTTTTTGTCATAAATAGGGTGTCTTAAGAAAATGATTTTGATTGATTCATTTTCTACAGATTGCAGGTTATTTAAAGCCAGAAAACATTTTTAGATCATAAGAATTTCTTTTTTGATGATAATAATGATTTAGTGATACACATATTACTAATTAACCCATAGCTGGAGAGAGAAGAGGTGGATTCATACCTTTCCCAAGGGTATTTGCATGTAAGGGAATATAATGAATGCAAATGCAATTGGATCTCAGCTCTCCGATTAACAATTCCAAGCCATTATCCATTACACCACCCACATTCAAGGTTACAGCACTTTGTATTACCAAGCAGTTACCAGTCTAGGTACTGACCAGGTTTGACATTACTTAACTTCAGTGATTGCATGGGAACCAATGTTTCAACATGATATGGCCTTAAGCCATACCACCTTCACATCCAACATACAGCACCTGGTATTCCCAAGTGGTCCCCCATCTAGGTACAGAGCAGGTTTGATGTGGGTACATCGAGGTGGTGTAATGGTTAGCAAGCTTTTCTTACTAGAACATTTACGACTGAACAATGAGTTTGATTCTCACTAGGTGCACCATACTTTTGGCCTTGTGCCACATCTAAGCTATGCTTGGAAAATCACCAGAGCATGTCCGATGTTGCTTAACTTCAGTGATCGTATGGAAAGCAGTGTTTCAGTCCTATATGGTCATAAGCATCTTATGAAAAGGGTGTCAGATTAGATTTAAAAAGAGCAAAATTAACAAAAAAAGGTGCTTTTAAGTTCCAGGAGGAGTCTGAAATTTTTCTAAAACAAAAAATGTCCCAACCTTCCAGTTGGCACCTAAGGGTAAGTTTAAAATTGCTGGTTTCTTGTACCATTCCAAAAATTACCTGACTCCTTTACAAGAGTCAGATCAGACCAAAAATGGTGTACTTTTTGATGATGTCTGACCAGCTCTTGTGTTGCCATCCCCTCCTGTGTCCACCTTCAACAGTACCTTGCATGAGGCTGTCCTACCATGTCACGTGGTCAAACCATGCCATCTTCCAATGCTTAATAGTGGTGAGGAAGGATTCCTGTCGGCCAATGAGACTTGCTCCATATGTAGTTGTTCCTACTAGGGATGTGAATGAACTTTTTCAAGCATTTGTTCTCAAACATCTGGATCCTTTTTCCTGTCCCAGCCATGAGTGTCCCAGTCTCACACCCACAGAGTGGCTTACAGCCACATCATGTTGAACCACTGGTTCCTGTACGATCACCAAAGTTAAGTAACATTGAGCCTGGTTAGATGAATGACTGCTTTGGAATGCCAGGCGCTATAAGCTTGGATGTATGGGTGGTGTAATTGATAATGATTTGGAATTATTAATCAAAGAGTTGAGTTCCAGTTCCAGTCAGGTTTGTTATATTCACTTATGTGCAAATACCCTTCAGAAAGATATGAATCCACCTATTCTCCTCCCAGCTATGGGTTAATTAGTAAGACTTGTATCACTAAATCATTATTATCTCAAAAAAATGTGTATTTATTTATATATTTCCTATCCTATCAGTAATGAGAAGAGTGGTACATCAACTTAAGTAGGAGAGCCCGGCATTGCCCGGGGATGTAACAGTAAGAGATAGATCAAGTATCGACCATCATAAAGACTGAAAAATAAAATTGACAAAGATTATTATTTAAGGTTGATGGACACGCATGTCTTAATTAGTTTTTTTTTTTTTTTTTTTTTTTTTACGAATTGGTCAAACCCAAACTCAAACAAAAACATTGTTTTCAATCGTTATGAGTCTATCGACTGAATAGAATTTTATTATAAACAATTGCCTTGTAAATGGAATTTTTAAGGCATTCTGAATGTAAAAATAAAGAAAAAAATGTGCAAGACAATAAGAAACACTACCTGCCAAAAAAAAGTAAAGTTTTGTTGAAATCGGTTGAAAAATGTAGGAAATCCGATTCCATATATAGATGAACACACACACACACACACACACACACAAACAACCTGGGATTTATAATAAGTATAACTCGATATGAGTTGTCCCCCTTTCATTCTGGCGACAGAATTGTGTTTTGTCATGTTTTCAAATTGATTTCATGCAAAAACAATTGTGTTTTTCCAATTTTTGGCGTTGTCAGAACCACTGCACGGTAATTTTACGCAGTCCTGTGAAATTTTGTTGAAATCGGTTGAAAAATGTAGGAAATCCGATCCAATATATAAACGTACCGACACACACACACACACACACAATCTGCATTTTATAATAAGTAAGATAACTTTCCTTTGTTATTTTAATAATTTTTAAAAATAAAATATCTATCTGCATTAAGACAAAAATTAATTTCCAAGCAAAATGAACTGTTTAATTAATCACTTCCTTTACTCCTACATTTCTACAATTGCAATCTTGCTGTTCAAGACTTTCATGTAAAGCACTGAGATACCTTTGTCTCTTAAGTGATTGTCTTGATTTGAACTTGGTCTTGAAATAGTCTTTGTTGTCACTATCTTTGTCATTCTGTTGCTATTTTTTTTCTTGCAAGAGATATTTCAACTTCATTGTTATATTAAACAAAATCTTTAGCAAGAAAAGATATTGAACAAAAAGTGATTTATATAATACCAGGAGTAATCAATGAATCATAGATACCATTGCATTTATTTACAAGTAACAATTACTTTCAAACAAATATATCATAGGGTTTTCATTAAGGTTGCCACAGAAAATGCAGTCATATATATTTTATTTGAATATGTAAATTATATTCTCCTAGATTCAGCACACTTTCACTCTATAAATGTATAACTGAATAATGATTAAGAGATAAATATAGTATTTGTAGTGTAGGTGTAATTACAAATTCTCCTATTATTTAAATATATTTTAGTTTTACATTGGTATCCAAGACTCAACACAAACTTGCTCTATAAATGTAGAATTAAATTTAAATAATTCCCTGTTTTACATTGGTATGTGCATTTAAGATTTTGTTCAGTGAACATCAGAAAATGGAAAATCCTCTTGAAGAAAGGAGGAAATTATAATGAGAGCAAAAACAAAGGCAGCGATTACGCCTATCTCAAGATCAGATACAGGCATGCCAGGAGGGTGATAGGCAAAAATATTCACAGGCATGCAGGAATGTTATGAAGTAATAAGAGCACAAGCCAGGAGATGTGAGGCTCTGAGGCAAACTAAAAAGGGTACTAGGAGAAGAGCAGATCTGTGAGAGAGAGAGAGAGAGAGAGAGTGAGCAGTGCAAAGTAGACAAAACAAAAGAGACGAAGAAGCTAATGCAAGAAGAGCTGCTATGAGAGAATGTGTAGCTCAAAGGATTTAAAATGAAACAGAGGAAGAATCTAATCTCTCTCTCTCTCTTAGGCTGTCCGTCATTGTTGATGACAACACTGTCCTTCCACCTCTGTCCATCTTCTGTGGGCTGCCAAATGAGATAGCAGCCTGATCTGCAAATGACAAGTCCTCAGGCACAGGTGGCAGGGAAATTGGTAGGTTACAGATGATACTGCTGTTGGCTCCCTTCGAGTGCTCCTCGTCTCTCCTCCTCAAAGTGTGCTACTCTAGCAACACAGAAAGACCACCAGCCAATCTGATCCCTTGTGAGGCTCTCCAATTGTGTTGGGTCAATATTGCAGGAGACAAGAAGAGAAGGAATCTAATACAAGAAGAGAAAATATGCAAATGCGAATGGAGGAATGTCTTTGACAAGTAAATAATCTTCTGTTCCACAAAGCCAATTATGAACAACATAAAATGTGGCAGATAAAAAAATAATCCATCATTTTTGATGAGACAGGTACACTAGTATTTATATAAATGTACCAGTTACTAATATGTTATTTGCATTGAATCTAAATAAACTTTATGTGTGCAGCAACTTAATGTTATGTGATCTGCACTTGGTGAGTTTTTTTCTTTAATTCAACTAATGGTAGTAGCACCATGCTTGCTTTACTAATCACATGCAAGTCAGCAACAACAGGAGTGTCCTCTCTTGGTTGCAATCCTGGGTAGTTTTTTTTTTAAGAGAGATCAGTAGTTTCCCATGCAACATATCTCTCCTTTCCATGCCAACAATGTTATCCATGGAAAAGGCAGAGGCTGATAATGCTTGGTACCACTGTCTGTGCAGGAGTTTCCAGAATGGTATTTGATGCAACATTAGACTGTCTTTGGGACATCAGTTCACGATTTCACTCTCAGAGTTTATTCTTGAAGCATTTTCAATGATTTGTAATGTCTGAAAGACAGAAGAAGTTTGAAATCAGACCTATTTTTGTCCTAGATGGACTGCCTTCCCAGTCTAATGAGTTTGTTCAGGAGTTTCCAGAATAGTATTTGATGCAACATTAGACTGTCTTTGGGACATCAGTTCAAGATTTCACTCTCAGAGTTTATTCTTGAAGCATTTTCAATGATTTGTAATGTCTGAAAGACAGAAGAAGTTTGAAATCAGACCTATTTTTGTCCTAGATGGACTGCCTTCCCAGTCTAATGTGTTTGTTCAGGAGTTTCCAGAATAGTATTTGATGCAACATTAGACTGTCTTTGGGACATCAGTTCAAGATTTCACTCTCAGAGTTTATTCTTGAAGCATTTTCCATGAATGGTAATGTCTGCAAGGCAGTAGAAGTTAGAAATCAGAGATTATTTTTTTGTCTTGGATAGACTGCCCTCCCAGACTAATGAGTTCTATCGCCCTAATTTAAGTATTACTCCTTCCATTTCACATTTACATCATGCATTTATGAAGTCTACTCTAGTGAAAAGAACCTGTAGATAATCTCAACTGCCTACAGTAAATGCCAACAGCGCACCAGGCAATATGGTAATGACTACTGGCTCCAAATCCACTTCCACGTACAGAGTGCAGCAGGCAGGCAACATCAAGGGGATGTTCTGTTCCTTCAAAAGAAAACTCAAAAGGAATGTTAGGAGTGCATATTGTAAACAAGTGCCTGTTATATTCATCAGTAAAAAAAGACAGACTAACTGTGAATCCATCATCTAGTTTTTACAACCCAACTGTAGTTAAATATATCAAGAAAGACAAAAAAAGGTCAATAGTCACTTAAACAGGTGGAGAGGGTAGCCAGAAAAAAATTGTAAAAAAAATTATATATATATATATATATATACATATACATTATGAAATGGACAAAGTCTGACAATTATTTTAAGACATTTTTATGTTTATACATTCTTTTTATAGATACAAGTATTTAAGTAAATGCTCTGTTTATAATAAACAGTATTAATAACATTTACTGGCCTGAATGTCCGAGAAATTGTCATAGAAAATATTCGTCGAGCATACAGGCTTGGACAACCCACGTTAAACTAGCCTTGTGCAACATGCAACCCTCATGGGGGGTAGCTAAATATTCTAGCTGGGATCTGTTGAGTACAACTCAGGCTTATGCGAGAACTACTGACCTTCCAATAGCAGCACTCACTACTGGATTGACTTGCAATGATCATGCACATAACTGTTACCTTATTTCTTATTGTACTGCTTTTTATAATAAACCTTTATGTTTTATGTTGTTCAAGTATATATTCCTATTAGCAAGGAATATAACAATATATATATATATATATATATATATATATATATATATATAGCATATATTAATAAATATACATTTTCCTCATCAGTATAAGGCTCAACTCTGAAGATTATGCTGTGCATGAAACTCTGGGTCGTGCTGCCGGTGAAGAAAAAAAATGTATATTTATTAATATATACTTGATAGGTCTGTTATATTACATTGAACACTATTTTATTAACACCAGCACTCAATGTGCAATATCTTATATATATATATATATAAACACACACACACACAGGGTACAATGGATAAACTGTTGTTTAAATTATGCAAAAATGAAAATAATGCTGACATCTCATTTTAACAGATATATTTACCAAAATTGCACAAAAATATCTTGAAATATTAAAGAGTAAATTTATTCAATAAAATCATCATTGGCTTCAACCATGACTTTGTAATTTCCAACAACTTTTCTGGACAATGTCCTTGTTTAATTTCATGAATGTTGCCATAATTCTTGCCTTCAGTTCATCTTTGGTATTACAAGGAGTTTTGTTGGTCTCTCGCTCAACTGTGTTCCACACATAGGTGACCAGATGTAAGGGGTGATGTGGTCGCAGAAATTGTCAGAACAATCAGAGTGAGTTTGCTGAGCATCTTATACCTTTGTAATCACAATTATACTCATCCAATAATTTCCAAATCCTCTGCACTATTCTCAGATTGACACCCAAACACTCTGAAATGTTTGCATCGGAGCTTATCAGGGCAAATGCCAAGCAGTACAGCATGCTTTTTCCAAATTTCTGTTAGAGTGAAATGCATCATGGTGATCTCACAGATGGTGCCCAACAGAAACCTACCATACTGTGCAACTGACAAAATCGAAAACAAACAATGCACATGTGCAAAATTAAAAATATAAAATGGTGACAATTTACCCATCGCACACACTATATATATATATATATATATATATATATATATATATATATATATATATATATATATATATATGAGTTAAAAGATCAAATACGGATTGGGATCTGTCAGAATGCGATAAAATGAAGAACAAACAAATAGGAAATGTATATCAATGTTTCACTTTTATTAAAGTTTCATCAGAGATTGAGAGAAAATAGACAAAAAACAGAAACTCTGATATTTTCAATTTTGTGTATCATGTGCATTAAAACCATATATAATTCTATTTTTATCTAGGTTTTCAAAGATTCTTGTATGCCCAAGTGGGCATTAGATGGTAATTTGTATCCATGATTGTGAATGTGTGTCTGCCTGTTAGGAGTTCTAATATCTTCAACACTGTTCAGTCAGCCATCAAAAATGGAATGTCACTTTATTCTAATCTATGGCTGATTTTTTTAAACATGTATTCTTTGTATTAGAAAGATATAAGTTAGTTTCTTTAAGAATGGATTCAAAGAAACATGGTGATGTAATGTAATGTTTTACATGTGTTTATAGTTGGTAATAATGTTATTATTAAGTTTTCAAAGTATTTTCTCAGTAAAGAATTATGTTCTTTCTTAATTATTTTTTTTTTTTTTTACAATGAGGTTCACACTTTACAAGACCCGAGGCCACTCAAAGTAGAGGGTTATGTTTGGAGACCATTTGTGTGTATAGGAGTGGAAGATAATAGTTAACCCTAGCCTTGAACAGGTTTAGATTGCAGAAATCAGGGAAATATCCTGTTGGGAGTCAATTCCATGGGACGGTGGTTTGTGGGAAGAAGCTGTTTGAGTGGAACTTACTTCTCATGAAATACAGGGGAAATGTGGTTGGTTTGTTAATATGTAAGTGGCATGACGTGTTCTTGCTGTGAAGGTTTGATTGGCAGGACCAGGGAAAGTAGTTCATCTTAGCACTTTCCAGGGAAGCAGCTTTAGAGCAGCAAAAGGCTTACCCCATCCCATCTGTGGGAGAGAGGTTGAAGGGTGGAGAATAATTTGTCAACCACAAAGGGAGTCATTAGTGAAAGTTATGTTCAGCATCGTTTCAATGCAATACAAGAAAGTTATACACACAAGGTGGTACTGAGTATTTGGCTCAACTTACTTCACAAAATATAATCAAAGAACAATGTGAACAATGCTTTCAAAATGTGAAGTACCAATTTACAGAATCATGGCTCTCTTTTGTTTAGTCATTTTTTTTAGATCATTGATTTAAATGATCACTGACCAAACAATTTCAACAGACAGTAAGAAATTTCCAAAGTGTTAACCCCAAAATGTCATGAAGCAAAAAGCAGTTGGTGAAAGACAGTCAGCAAAACAGTTAGTGAAGAACAGTCGGCAAAAGACAGTCAGCAAACCAGATCATGTCTCGATCAACAGCTTAGACACACATTACAATGACAACACGTCAGTCAGTGATGATTTTTCTACATACAAAGCTGTGCTGAAAATAAGTCCTATATCACCTCTTTTTGTTCACTGTGTTTTTTAAATTACTGCTACAATCATTCAACAGTCACACACATTTCAGTGGTTTCATGTGGTTCACACACACATATTAGTGTACCATACCACTTGATTTCCTCACTTGTAACAAAACATTTTGAAACTTTGCAGACTCACTTGTGACAAATTATTTGAACAATCAAACTATTGGTCTCTTCATGGCTAAAACAAAGAACATTGAGTCTTAATATGTAAATACATGAATCTGTCTGTATAAGTGGTACTGTCATATTTAGCTTCATCTTCTTCCTTTTCTGTGAAGATCATTTCTTCGCGTTGTATAAAAAATTGTGTTGTATTTGTGGACACAACATTCAGATTTTATTTTTCCTCTTAAAATTCAGGTAGACTACCTCCTCCCCACAATTTAGTTTTGCTGAGGCAATAAAATATGTTGTTCTTAGTTGTACAATATTGCTTATAATTTCATTTCTATCCTCTGTTTAAGAAAATTCTCATGAACAATAATATTAATCTCTTTTTAAATACTAATTAGTTTTGCTGAGGCAATAAAATTTGTTGTTCTTAGTTGTACAATATTGCTTATAATTTCATTCCTATCTTCTGTTTAAGAAAATTCTCATGAACAATAATATTTTATCTCTTTTTAAATACTAATTAGTTTTGCTGAGGCAATAAAATATGTTCCTAATAATATTGCTTGTAATTTAACCTCTATATCCTCTTAAAAAAAAAATCCCATAAACACCAATATTATTCCACATACTTTCTATTTAATTTACTCTATCGCTTAATCACAGCATAAAATGGCAATCCCACTACATATTCTAAAAAAGTCCTGCAAATCTCTACTCCGGTTATATGAATCATCAAAGCTGCCCTTTGATTTCAATGCCATGATGATTGTCAAATTACAATCAAATTGGGCCATAGTAACTAAGCAACGGTTAGCAAATTTGAATTTGTAAGGCTGGTGGCAAGATAGTAAGGCTAAAAGGTTTTATATGACATGCAGTTTCTGCTTAGAATGTGGCCATACATTAAGGAAGGTTATTTGTAAAGAGGATCGTTACATTTTGTTTTTCAATTGGCCATGCTCTCTTTTTTCTCTCTCTCTCGGTATTTCTTTGTTGATGAGACATGAGAATGATCCTTCCAACATGCCAAATATATGTGCAAAATCTTTGTCACAGTTGGCAAGCGTATCTATAAGAAAGAAATGCTATTTTCAATACATTTACATACCCACATACTAAAACACGCTCAAACTTTATTTTTTACCCAGGACAGACAATATTTACAAACATGCCAATCATCCTGGATATGACAATAAACTACATTTACATCCTGGATATGACAATAAACTACATCTACATCTTGGATATGACAATAAACTACATCTACATCCTGGATATGACAATAAACTACATTTACATCCTGGATATGACAATAAAATACATCCAACAGCCTGTCCTGAGTATGACAATAAACTACATTCAACAGCCTGTCCTGGGTATGACAATAAACAAAATCCAACAGCCCGTCCTGGGTATGACAATACAGCACATCCAACAGCCCATCCTGGATATGACAATAAACTATATTCACGTCCTGGATATGACAATAAAATACATCCAACAGCCTGTCCTGCATATGACAATAAACTACATTGACATCCTGGATATGACAATAAACTACATCCAACAGCCCATCCCGGGTATGACAATAAACTATATCCAGCAGCTTGTCCCGTGTATGACAATGCAGTACATTCAACAGCCCATCTTGGATATGACGATAAACTATATTCACGTCCTGGATATGACAATAAACTACATCCAACAGCCCATCCTGCATATGACAATAAACTACATTCACATCCTGG